CCACCACGCCCGGCCTGATATGTCTTTTTTAATGAAGACATTTACTATTCATAGACATTGAATTTCATAAGTTCATATGTAGTCTTCATTTTATAGGTCAAAGAAATTATCTGTTCCAGCCTCAGTGGTGTCCAGAATAATGGGAAGAGGAGGATGCAACATCACTGCAATACAAGATGTTACTGGTGCCCACATTGATGTGGATAAACAAAAAGATAAGAATGGAGAGAGAATGATCACAATAAGGTAATTGTGAAATATGTATGTTGCTAGTTCTGAGTAAAAGTTATATTTTTGTAAGAAGCATACTTTGGTTAGATATGGTACAGTTACGAATTTTATTTGATGGTAATATTATCTGGATTTTTTATGTTTTTATTATTTTTTCCCCAGGGGTGGTACAGAATCAACAAGATATGCAGTTCAACTCATCAATGCACTTATTCAAGATCCTGCTAAGGAACTGGAAGACTTGATTCCTAAAAATCATATCAGAACACCTGCCAGCAAATCCATTCATGCTAACTTCTCATCTGGAGTAGGTACCACAGCAGCTTCCAATAAAAATGCATTTCCCTTGGGTGCTCCAACTCTTGTAACTTCACAGGCAACAACATTATCTACGTTCCAGCCCACTAATAAACTTAATAAGAATGTTCCAACAAATGTACGTTCTTCTTTCCCAGTTTCTCTACCTTTAGCTTATCCCCATCCTCATTTTGCCCTGCTGGCTGCTCAAACTATGCAACAGATTCGGCATCCTCGCTTACCCATGGCCCAGTTTGGAGGAACCTTCTCACCTTCTCCTAACACGTGGGGACCATTCCCAGTAAGACCTGTGAATCCTGGAAACACGAATAGCTCTCCAAAGCATAATAATACAAGCCGTCTACCTAACCAGAACGGGACTGTTTTACCCTCAGAATCTGCTGGACTAGCTACTGCCAGTTGTCCTATCACTGTCTCTTCTGTAGTTGCTGCAAGTCAGCAAATGTGTGTGACTAATACCCGGACTCCTTCATCGGTCAGAAAGCAGTTGTTTGCCTGCGTGCCTAAGACAAGTCCTCCAGCAACAGTCATTTCTTCTGTGACAAGCACTTGTAGTTCCCTGCCTTCTGTCTCCTCTGCACCTGTCACTAGTGGGCAAGTTCATACCACATTTCTACCTGCAAGTACTCCTCAAGCACAGCTTTCTTCACAAAAGATGGAGTCTTTCTCTGCGATGCCACCCACCAAAGAGAAAGTGTCCACACAGGACCAGCCCATGGCAAACCTATGTATCCCATCTTCAACTGCAAATAGTTGCAGTAACTCTGCCAGCAACACCTCAGGAGCTCCAGAAACTCACCCATCCAGTAGTCCCACTCCTCCCTCCAGTAACACACAGGAGGAGGCACAGCCATCAGATGTGTCTGATTTAAGTCCTATGTCAATGCCTTTTGCATCTAACTCAGAGCCTGCTCCATTGACTTTGGCATCACCCAGATTGGTTGCTACTGATAATCAGGACACCAGTAATTTACCTCAATTAGCTGTACCAGCACCTCGAGTTTCTCATCGAATGCAGCCCAGAGGTTCTTTTTACTCAGTGGTACCAAATGCAACTATACACCAGGATCCCCAGTCTATTTTTGTTACAAATCCAGTTCCTTTAACAGCACCTCAAGGCCCACCAGCTGCAGTACAGCTTTCTTCAGCCATGAACATTATGAATGGTTCTCAGATGCACATAAACCCAGCAAATAAATCTTTGCCACCTACATTTGGCCCAGCCACACTTTTCAATCACTTCAGCAGTCTATTTGATAGCAATCAGGTGCCAGCAAACCAGGGTTGGGGAGATGGTCCACTGACTTCACGAGTTGCTACAGATGCCTCTTTCACTGTTCAGTCAGCATTCCTGGGTAACTCTGTACTTGGACACTTGGAAAATGTGCACCCTGACAATTCCAAGGCACCTGGCTTCAGACCACCTTCCCAGCGAGTTTCTACTAGTCCAGTTGGTAAGTTATTCATTAACTATTGCTGTAGTTCAGTTTGGGGCTTTCACAGCCTAATTTAATCTTCCAAGAAAATAATAAACCATTTGTTTTGTACCTAATGCATGATTTTAAAGAACTGAGGCCAGGCGTGGCGGCTCATGCCTATAATTGCAGCAGTTTGGGAGGGTGAGGCAGGAGGATTGCTTGATCAAGGCCATGAGTTTGAGAAGCCTGGGCAACATAGTGAGAACTACAAAAAATAAGAAAAAAAACTAGCCGGGCATGGTGGCATGCGCCTGTGGTCCTGACTACTCAGGAGGCTGAAATGGAAGGATCACTTGAGCCCAGGAGTTCAAAGCTGCAGTGAGCTATGATCATACTGCTGCACTCCAGTCTGGGCAACACAGTGAGACCTTGTCTCTAAAAAACAAAAATTAGAGTGTATCATAAATAGTAAAGACCCTTTATAATGATGCTGATAGAGTAGACAAAAAGAGGAGCTATAGGTAAATCACTAATATACAATGAGCTGCTTTATATTTTCTCTGTGATCTTTCTGTCTCTCATAGTAAGGAGGTTATACCTTATGGCAGTCCATTTTCTTAGAATTGGTGTCAGAGGATTAATAAAAAGGGATCATGGGATACTTTAAGGATTCCAAATTTACAGGTTTTTTTAAAATTATAGTGATTATTTATAGTTCTCAGATTTTAAAAATTGAAGTTGCAAAGGTGTTTAGGCACCAGACCATGATTTACCTTGCTTAATAATACTCTATATTATTAATATTAGATGCAGCTATTTGAAGAGATCCAGTCATTTATAGGTTCTTATTTTAAAAAGACCAACTTAGATTCAGATATTGGTTCCTAAAAATTAGAAATTAGTTGCTGAAGCATCATAAGAAAGATTTAGATAGATATGAGGCCAGTTTTGACTTAGAGTTATTTGAAGAACCAGAATGTATTTTCCAGAGTTTAAGAGCCAAATTGTCATTCAATCTGCACTATTCTGAAAAACAAATTAGAAATGTGGCTGACCCATAATGGGGGTGAGAAGCACTATTGCCGCTGGGCGCAGTGGTTCATGCCTGTAATCCTAGCACTCCGGGAGGCCGAGGTGGGAGGATCACTTGAGATCAGGAGTTTGAGACCAGTCTGAGCAAGAGTGAGACCCTGTCTCTACCAACAATAGAAAAATTAGCTGTGTGTGGTGGCATGTACCTGTAATCCCAGCTACTCAGGAGGCTGAGGCAGGAGGATCGCTTGAGCCTAGGAGTTTGAGGTTGCTGTGAGCTAGGCTGATGCCACGGCACTCTAGCTCAGGTGACAGAGCAAGACTCCATCTCAAAAAAAAAAAAAAAAGAAGCCTTATTGCCACTTAGCATTTCTATTCCAGTTGGAAAACTGCACCATAGCCCATGCTACCTTTTTTGCTAATTATAAACCGATCTATGTTGTTTAAAATTATTTGTGAGTTATAGCCTTAGCTTTCATTTCAGATATATTTCCATTTACTTTTCAGGAAAACATAGCTGTTATATCATCTTGCAAATAGAAATATAAGCCTGCATAAGACTATCTATGGTCCAAAATATTCTCTAGAATTTGTTTCCTTTTCTATAAATAGGCATTTATTATTATAACTTTTCATTTTGGGAAACTGGAACAAATTTTGAGAAGCTCCAGGGTGAAGTGCCTAGGCTGTGATAGAGAGCATTCATCCTTGACCTTCTTTCTAGGGCCCAGGATTAATAAGCTTGGCCCTGTTTCTTCATTGCCTCTCTGGTTTCTTTTGTTAATGCTCTTCTTTCATGGAAATAGTTTACTCTTCTAGTTTTCAGGTAAGAAGAAAATACTTAAGAAGATGGGGAAGAGTCTGGAGAAACTGGAACCGTTATACACGGTTGGTAGAAGTGTAAAGTGGTACAGCCCCTTTGGAAAAACAGTTTCACAGTTCCTCAAAAAGCTAAACATAGGGTTATCATATGATCCAGTAATTTCACTTCTAGGTTTACGCAAAAGAAGACCTATGTCTATAGAAAAACTGGTACACAAATGATTGTGGCAGCATTATTCATAACTGCCAAAAATTAGAAATAACCCAGTGTCCATCAGCTGATAAGAAAATAAACCAAATGTAGTATATCTAGAAAGCAGAATATTTTTGTATTTGGCAATAAAAACAAGTGAAGTACTGATTCATGCTATAACATGGATGAACTTAGAAATCACTTTGTTAAGTGAAAGAAGCTTGTCACTAAAAACCAAATATTGTATGATACCATTTATATGAAATGTCTAGAATCAGCAAATCTATAGATGCAAAAAGTAGATTAGTGTTACCTAGGATGGAGGGATTGCAGGGAGAGAGGGAGAGAGTGATGGCTAAGGGGTACAGGGTTTCTTCTTAGGATAATGAAAGTGTTCAAAAATTGATTGTGGTGATGAATGCACAATTCTGTAAATATACTGAAAGCCACTGAACTGTATAACTTTAAATGGGTGAATCGTATGGTTTGTGAATTAAATCTCAGTAAAGCTATTAAAAAAATACATTTATGTAGCATCTGTTTATTTCCCTAAAACACAGCTATTATAATCTTTACAAAAGACTGACAGATTTCACTGTAAAAATATTAACAAGAGGCTATTACAGGAATGATTATTTTCCTACTTTATAGAATTTTTAAAGCCACATTCAGAATTCTCACTATCCTAGCTAACATCTGCTTTCATTAGCACTAGAAAATATTTTATTTTTTATTTATTTATTTTTTTTTTTTCAGAAAAGGGCACAGGGTAATAGTTGCCTAGCACCATAATGAAAGTCTGCAATAAGTAGAAAACACATCAAGTTATCCAAATGTCCAGAATAGTTAAATCTGTAGATACAAAAAGTAGATTAGCAGTTGCTTAGAAGCGGAAATATGGGGGTGAGAAGGACAGTGAGTGACAGGTAATGGGTATGGAGTTTCTTTTAAGGGAGACAAAAATATTCTAAAATTGATTGTGGTGATGGTTGCACAATCCTGTTAATATACTAAAATCCCAATATTAAATGGGTGAATTATATGGTATGTGAATTACATCTCAAAATTGTTTTATAAAAATGATGGGGAAATAAAACTGTTTGAAAATAAGATCTGCTTGAGATAAGTTTTGACAATTTTGATGCTGATGTTAACTATTTTTCCCTGAAATAAGCACCTATAATCCTTTTCCAGGCCCCTGACCCCTTTCCGAATACATTCTCCAGAGAAATAAATGGAATTTGAGAAGACGGCTAAGTTCAGGTTTATAGAAACTAGATAGAAGTTTTGATATAGTTTGTAACTGTTCACTTTTTTTTATCAGATAGAATACTGAAATTATCCTTAGTTTCATAGTATGCTTTTCCTCCTTGTCAGGAAGGAAACGTTGGTAGATTTTGTTACTCATCTTCCATTGGAAATGACTGTAGTTATATAGATGAAAAATTGTACTTTGAGATTTACTACAAAAGAAGTTATTGATGAGTACCACTTTATTTCAACATGTTCTCATTTCATGTCTCCTTCAATTAAAAGCTTTGAGATTTGTCCAAAATATTACTACAGGTGACTGCCATTGGGTTCACTTTTCTGTATCTAGTGCTGTTTGGTGATACTCTTCTGGATTGTAAGAAAAGAAAAGGGTTTGGCCAATACAGTATCACATAAACGGATTATTTCTGCTGCGATCCACAAAAACGAGCCACATGCGGTCTTCCTTTTCAAAAGGGAATAAGTAAACCTCAAACTTTTAATTTTAAAGCCTTGGCTAATTGGATGTCTTGGACATGTTTTATTTCAGGGTTACCATCCATTGACCCATCAGGCAGCTCCCCATCTTCCACTTCTGCTCCTCTGACAAGTTTTTCCGGCATACCAGGAACAAGGGTTTTCCTGCAAGGGCCAGCTCCTGTTGGGACTCCTAGTTTCAACAGACAACATTTTTCTCCCCATCCTTGGACAAGCGCCTCAAACTCATGTAGGAATCCTGGAGGAACTCTTCCCAAAGAGTTTTGAATAAGTTACTAAACCATTTATTTCAGGGAACACTGTTTTAAACATTAGTAAACTAAATGGTAGGCAGATACTCAAGGTTTGTATTGCAGTCATGTCAAAAAATTGTCAGTCATTTGTAGGATAGAAAACTTGAGAAGGATCAAGCTATTCCAAGCCAGAAATGTTTGCACTGGGACTTGGATCAAGAAAGGAGGTACTACAAGTAGTTTTACAAAGGGACCCTTTGGGGGCAGTGCTGTGACATTATTTCTCAGATCTGAGAAGAAGTTGAATTTATGTATATGGTTAATTTGGTATGATTTCTCATTTGTTTTATGAAACTGCATTATTGCCATCTATAAGTAAAAGTATTTCTTTGTTCTGACTTATTTATTTCAATATTTAGAATAGCTTAAGTATGTGGACTTGAACAGGATTTGATTTTTTTTTTTTTTTTTTAATGAGCATCAGGAGGTATAGTCAGTGTACTGGGTGTTTTGACAGGAGAGCAACCCAAATTACCTAAGAGTACCATTTAGAAACAAAGGTTTGAATTAAGCCTACAATCCTTTGCTAACATTGAATGTTTCTTCGTTACGGAAAAAAAAAAGGCTGTAGAAAGGGAAAAAAGGGAAAGAACTAATAAGTATAGAGGGCTACCAACTGTTTTACATACAATATGCTTGGTACTGTGTGAACATTGCCACATTTTAGTTAATTTAAAATGTGACAATATAGGTTTTAAGAAGATTATTTAGAGCTAGAGTAAAAGTAAACGTGGCCTGTTTCCTTTTTAGCCTTGTTCAGTTCAATCAGGAAAAACTGTTTTAGACTATTTGTTTTATGCTTAACATAGGCAGAAGTAGTCTAGGCTAATGTTTATAGAATTACATATTTTCACTGGAATGATCTTATAAAATGAAATATTTCTCTACAGAACCTATGTTGTGGAATAGATCTTTCCAACAAGGCTTCTCATATTCTTAAGTTTTTATATGTAATAAAACAATAGAGAAATATTTTGCCACCAGGTGATTCTCCTATTCCATCTGTTTCTTCGGGATCATCTTCACCTCTTTCAGCCACTTCTGCCCCACCAACATTGGGCCAACCAAAAGGAGGCAGTGCCAGTCAGGATCGAAAAATACCTCCCCCGATTGGAACAGAGAGACTGGCCAGGATTCGGCAAGGAGGGTCTGTTGCACAAGCCCCCGTGGGGACCAGTTTTGTCGCTCCTGTTGGACACAGTGGAATCTGGTCATTTGGTGTCAACGCTGTGTCAGGTACAATTACCTTGCCCCCTCTCTCTAGAAGGATATCTCAAATAAGTTACGAGTTTGCCATTAAAACTTAGTTTTATAGAAACAGACAAACAAAACTTAGTTCCTATGCTTAACACTCAGGGAAGGGTATTTATACTTACAAGGAGTCCAATCCAATCTCAGGGTCTGGAATGTTAGTTGGGATGATATATAGAGTTGATCAGAAATAAAAGATTCAAAGTGAGTGTCCTTTCCCTCTTAAACAATCATTTGAGTTCCTTCAGAGAGCACTTAATTTTTGAAAGACAAGGTAGAGTGAGGTATTCAAGGGACTTCACCCAGTTTTTCAGGAACTTGTTTTTTTGGCTTGTAAGATTGTGATGAATGTGCCTAAGCTCTTCAGAGAAAAGATTTTGATCACATTTAGTATGAAAAAGGAATAGAGTGGTAATGTTTTATTGTTTTATCTAAATAAATATCAAATACCGTTTTCAATTCTTCTTTCTAGAAGGCTTATCAGGTTGGTCGCAGTCTGTGATAGGGAACCATCCAATGCATCAACAATTATCAGACCCAGGCACATTCTCCCAGCATCAACCAATGGAGAGAGATGATTCTGGAATGGTAGCCCCCTCTAACATTTTTCATCAGCCTATTGCAAGCGGTTTTGTGGATTTTTCTAAAGTGAGTTGACAAACATCATTGTAACTTGTTTGGCACTTTGCCAGCCAATGTAGTCAAATGTTAAGGAATAGTTTGTATTGAAATAATTCTCCCTTTTGTTTCTGTGACTTTGCCAGATCTTTTGCTCAGTTTCAAGAGTGGGTGGTATTGTCCACAGTTAGTTTGTCCTCAAGCCATCCTGAAGATGTCCCTATCCACGTAAAACATCTGAGGGATTTGTGTTCTGCTGCCACAGCTTTGAGGGAGGCCTCTCCCTCTCTAAACAGTTGGCCATGAGCTCTCTGATGCCTTCTTGTCTGTTCTGACAGCTTTCTGGCTACCATAAAGCCAGATTATGGCTGGAAATAATACTCGTGTAGAGTTCCCTTTTTTCTTCTTAGCACATGCTTTATTAGTGAAACTAAAATATGGGAAAGTTGAGGGTATTAAATGTTTTCATCAAATATGGAATATGGGAAATTTCCTGATGACTTGATATTGAATTTAGCTTTTTTTTCTTCTTCCTTGTTGAAAAATGTTGTGGATACAGATAAACACTTTCGCTTTCTCAACACTGTGCCATGCTATACTACAGGATCCTCTGGAGTTCTTTGTTTATTTTAGAGACAGTGTCTTGATCTGTTGCCCAGGCTAGAGTACAGTGGCATCATCATAGCTCACTGCAACTTCAAACTCCTGGGCTGAAGCAATCCTCCTGCTTCAGTGGACTATAGGCATGTGCCACCACACGTGGCTAATTTTTAAAATTTTTTTTACCGGCCAGGCGCGGTGGCTCACGCCTGTAATCCTAGCTCTCTGGGAGGCCGAGGCGGGCGGATTGTTTGAGCTCAGGAGTTCGAAACCAGCCT